GGGGTGGAACCAGGGATTGAACTCAGGCCCTTGCACTTGCCAGGCAAGCACTTATTCTACTGAGCTATCTCCACAGCCCATAGAATTTCTTAAATGGGGAAAAAAAGAAAACCAGTGATGTCACTGCACAGAGTTCATCAGAGGAAATTCCTTTGTTTTTCCCAACAGTAGAAATGCATGTCTCGACCCTACTACTATTTGAAAATAACTCCTATTACTAAGTGAGAAGGAATTCAGCAGGAACTTATTTTAATGACTATTAATTGTATCTGCCATTACACTGTACATGGTATTATCACTTGAAGTGTATCCTTAATTGAAGGCATTCTAAAATAGTTTATGCATTATATTTTTGTCATAGTCAAATTTGACAAAAATCTTGAGTTTCTGAACTCTTGCCAATGGATTTGATTACTTTAAACAGAGCCAGAAGCAAATGCTTGCTGGTAAATTCACTTTCCAACTTTCCCCACTGAGATAAATTTTATTTCTTTTCTCCTGCCTAAATAGCACACTGCCTCAACTCTTCAAAATCTGCCTATAACCTTGTTTTCCAAAGTGCATGAAACAAATCCCATGGGAATCCCATTGCCATCTCATAATCAATGATTCGATCTTTCTGCATCCACTTCCTTTTTTCTATTTTTCTTTCTTATTAAGACACAGAGAGTGTCGCCATATCTCCTAGCCGACATCCGCAGGCTCACACTTAACCCCAACTTCTCTTGCCCTAGGGTTCTCAGCTCATCACTTATTCACTCTCTCCTGCATCATCAGTCGCTGCCTCTCTAATGTCCTTTCCATCACTAGCATCAATGTCTCCCTTCCTTCCTTCCCTCCCTCCCTCCCCCCTTCCCTTCCTTTCCTGCCTTTCTTCCCTCCTTCCTGTCCCTTCCCTCCCTCCCTTCCCTCCTTCCCTCCCTCCCTTCTCCCTTCCCTCCCTTTCCTGCATTTCTTCCCTCCCTTCCCTCCCTGACTTCCTTTCCCTTCCCTCCCTCCCTCCCTCCTCTGTTCCCTTCCCTCCTTCTGTTCTTCCTTCCCATCCTCCTTCCCCATCCCCTCCCCTTTCCCTCCCTCCCTCCTCCCTTCTCTCCCGTGCCTGCCTTTCTTCCCTCCCTTCCCTTCCTTCCTTGCCTTCCCTCCCTTCCCTCCCTCCCTCCTCCATTTCCTCCCCTCCTTCTGTCCTTCCTTCCCATCCTCCCTCCCTATCCCCCTCCCCTTCTTTCCCTCCCTCCCTTCCTCTTCTCCTTCCCTTCCCTCCCTCCCTCCTCC